AGGTTGCCAAGCCCGAGAATGTGAGTTTGAATCCCTATTACAGCGGACACTCGTTAGTTAGTGTCCCTTGTCTGCGTTAGTCAATAAAAGGGAGACTGGCACATTGCATTATGCGTTACAGCTAAGTTGCGATATTTTTAGCTATAGTTACATCATCATCATCATGTAGCAGGTCCTTTGCAGAACGTCGCTCTCATCACAGTCTGCCTGTAAGAAACTCGGTCTCTTGCCAGTTCTCCCGCCTCATGAACGTTCACACTCAAGGAGTCACTTATATCCTGTGCCCATCTTCGTGTCGGTCGGCCTCTGCCCCTCCTTCCTGGTACCATGCCTTCTGCTATAATTCTTTCCGATCCGTCGTGGCGCTTGATATGACCAAAATATTTCAGCTTTCGAGAAAGGAAGCTGTTTATTAGCCAATCTTCCTTGATGTTCAGATCTTTTAAGATGTCAATATTTCTCATCTTCTTTTTCCAAGATATTCTGAATATCTTTCTATAGCATTTCAGCTCAAAAGCCCCTATTCTAGCTATAGCCACAACAAACCCAATTGTATCAATGGAACTCTGTCCCGTCTATCAAGCGTCTATTGACTGCCGTAACGCAACTTCAAGTGACACGTACAAACTACATTAAAAGATGAAAAAAATTCAGGCTAGGGGTGAAAGGGGGGGGGGGGGGGTGACTTAAGTGTGAATACTTTAGCTCCATAAAGCAATGGAGACTGTTGAAAGTAAATTAGAACTTTTCCGTCCCTGTTCTTATTTCCCGTCCCAATATGAGAAGCAATAGTTTACTATTTTACACCTTGTGTGAAAAGTGGGTGGCTCAAGGTCGACCAATCAGAAGTAATCTAGGCTGAAAGTAGACCAATCAGAAGTGAGCTAGGCTGAAGGTCGACCAATCAAAAGTGAGCTAGGCTGACGGTCGACCATTCGGAAGTGAGCTAGTGTGTAGCACTGTTTGAATGGGGTAAAAAATGGGGGGGAAGGGGGGGGGTGGCTATTTTTACTTTTACCTGGCTTGTGATATCGCCACGGAGTGTGCAGGTTAGGATTTGCAGGTTAGGATTTTTTTCTCTCCCCCCCCCACTCCCCGTCCCCCCCCCCCCCCCCCCAAAAAAAAAAAAAAAAAAAAAAAAAAAAACAAATCGACCTGAACTAGGATTCGAACCTGGGTCTTCCTCATAACAGTCCAACGTTCTTATCGGCACCGCCAGCTCTTCCTCACAACATCAGTTAAGCACATTAAAGTCACTTTTACAGGAGAATGCATTTGTTCTGTCGCAACATGCCAATATGTGTCGCCACTATTTCGATGCCTTCTTCTTCTTCTGCCTTATATCCCCCGGTGGAGAATAGACAGACACTCACGAAGTCGTTCACTTGTGCATGCAATTTACTCCATATCCCCCCCCCCCATCCCCCTTCTCATCTGATTTGACCTTACCATCTATCTCCTTCTCCGTGTTTTTTGTTCTGCTTTTGTTTATATGCTGCTCTGCGTTCCAATGCGAAAACATTCTAGTTAAACTGTTCCACGTGTGTCCTATCTAACGGCATCGCCTTGGTCAACTTTAACTTGTTTAATTTCCTCGGAAACACTCAGTCTGAGTGATTCGACCATACCATATAATTCTCTTTATTTGTACAGGCACTAGTTAATGCCAGGGTGAAGGGTTCGATCCCAGCTGCAGGCTTTGTGCCTTGCGGTGGTTTCGACAGTGGTATCAAGAAGCTGACCGTCCAGAAAGCAATGGCAAACTACTGGACTTAAATTTGTCTAGAAAAACCACAACAGCCAAAAAATGCTGAGGTTGGTTCTGCAATGTTCTGTAAAGGATACGCAATTAACACCCCCTCCCCCCCCCCCAACCATTTCAGGAATATCTCTACTTGATTACTAACGGTTTTACTTGTTTTCCATGTTTCCGCTCCACACAGCAGTATTGTATCACCTCTTCTATTCCCTTGATCCCTTCATATTCGTCACAGGGTGTGCAGGCGTTGTTGGTAATGAAAGAGCTGATAGGTGCTGCATCCATTGAAGATGGCCGGTCCATGGATCACGCAGACATTGTCAATGACCTTAGAGAGATAGGATGTTCTAAGGATTTTAGAAGCAATGTGTTCACATCATTAAGAATACGAGAATTGGGAGTTTAGATAGTCACAGCCAAGCATGAGAAGCACACCGGATGCACACGGGGTCTTGTAACCAACATAGGACTGGCATTATTAACCACGCGACGCTGACGAATATGTTGAGAGGGGAATCTAAGCGCCTATGGACATGTCCGGAGTGCTGTGAAGAAAATCCAACGCATAACTCATAACTCATTTAATACCGTACTGTCTGTCAGCGTCATGGTTTGAAGAGGCGTCTAGTGAATTCCTTGTTTTTCTGTGCAGAATTTGCCGGATTTGAATGCCTCCGATAAACCACTTTTCCGTCGCTTGCATTGACGAGTAGCTGAACACTTGTCAGAAATAAGCTTGCCTCCAAAGAGGACCCATCTTAAACAGGTACCCGGTAAAGTCATGTGAAGTAGAGGCAGCCGGAGTCATGTTGGGCACAACACCCAATGATGGTCTATGAAATATAGGGCGTGCCCTATATGCCTAATAACGCCTTACGGCATGGAAGTGTCTTTTTTTCTACTTTACATTCGCGACCTGTAGCTCTTCTTCAGTTGTATCTTAGCGACAGAGCTTTCTGTGTCACACTGTCTTCTGGTAGCGTTTACACATGTCCGAACCATTTGATTTTTTGTCGCTTGATACACACACACGCACACACACGAAAAATGGGAAAATAACAACGCTGTCATAACATAAAGAAATCGATATGTTTGAAATACACATACATTTCTTAGACTAGAGTATATATTTTTTTTAAAAGTCTACAAAAATCGATATTCTAACAGATCGGAACACTGAAGAAAGTTGACTCATAAACAAGATTATCTATGGGAAATGAATATCATACCAACTTCATATACACGTTTGCAATCAAATTTGCATTATTTATGAGGGCTTATAGTCACTCGGCTGATAGTTCATCTCTGAGTCTTGGTCTGAGTCGAGGTTACAACTTCACGTCAATGGGGCTTCCCCAAACTTGTGCCGTTCCTGCGCCAATGAAATCCAAATGCAATGTCCCTTCTGTCCCATCTGGAAAACTTGTGAACAAACAATCAGTACCGGAATATTTCAGAAGTATGCGCACACAGTAAATGTATACGGCAGTTGCTAGAGGCGCCAAAACCAACAGCCATCACCACACATACAGTTTGCCATTGATGGAGGTAGTCGTTCACGATAAGTTGGTTATACACACGTAAAATTATTACATAAGGTATTTTACCAGCCCATAGGTAAACCGGCTACCTGCCATTTTGAATACCCGACTCAACCGCTGCACAAATGAAAGTTCATCTCAGCGGTAGCAAATGCCATTATGCTAGCTTGTTTAAATGACTTGAAAATTAAATCAGACTGGGAAATGAGATCAGACTTAGGAATTCAGATCAGGTTGGAAATAAGATCAGGCTGGGAATGAGATCAGGCTAGAAATAAGATCAGACTAGAAAATGAGATCAGGCTGGGAATATCAGGTTAGACAATTAAATCAGGCTAGGAAATGAGATCAAGCTGGGAATGAGATCAAGCTAGGAATGAGATCAAGCTAGGAATGAGATCAAGCTAGGAATGAGATCAAGCTAGGAATGAGATCAAGCAAGGAATGAGATCAAGCTGGGAATGAGATCAAGCTGGGAATGAGATCAAGCTGGGAATGAGATCAAGCTAGGAATGAGATCAAGCTGGGAATGAGATCAAGCTAGGAATGAGATCAAGCTAGAAATGAGATCAAACTAGGAATGAGAGCAAGCTGGGAATGAGATCAAGCTAGGAATGAGATCAAGCTAGGAATGAGATCAAGCTAGGAATGAGATCAAGCTGGGAATGAGATCAAGCTGGGAATGAGATCAAGCTAGGAATGAGATCAAGCTAGGAATGAGATCAAGCTAGGAATGAGATCAAGCAAGGAATGAGATCAAGCTGGGAATGAGATCAAGCTAGGAATGAGATCAAGCTAGAAATGAGATCAAACTAGGAATGAGAGCAAGCTGGGAATGAGATCAAACCGGGGATGAGATCAAGCTAGGAATGAGGTCAGACCAGAAAATGAGATCAGGCTGGAAATGACTGCAAACTGGGAAATGAGACCAGACTGGGAATGAGATCAGTTTCAGAATTAGATCAGACTTAGAAAGGCGATAAGGTTGAGAGTTGCGAGCATGCTTGGAGATGAGATGAGACTTGGAAATGAGATGAGACTGGGAAATGAGATGAGACTGGGAAATAAGATCGGGCTGTGAAATGAGACCAAATCGGGAAATGTGGCAACGTTGGGTAATGAGATTAGACAGGGACTGGAATATAAATCTAGATTGCGTTGTAGGATTGGTCTAGGCCATGGTAAATGATATCCTACTAAGAACGAAGATTCTACCTGAAATGGAGATAGGGAGATCAATCTACATTAATATTTGAGCAGTGAATGGGTAATCAACATAGACTAGAAACTGAGACCAGATTTGAAAATGCTCCTAAACGGAAATGACCCCAAAGTGGAAATGATACCTGAACAGTGGCAGTAAGCATCTGCAGTAACAACCACTAACAGTCAGCTGCTTCATGACGAGACAGTCACACGACAGTAAAACTACTGCTATCATGAATTCACAAAGTTCAAATATTTGTAAGTCAATGGTATATGGAAGCAAGAACAGCTATGTTCTCAAGTCTGTATCCTTCTTCCTTGTTACCTCTAGCTTGTGTCCTTGCTACATGGGAGGACTAACAGCAATCAACGTACTAGTGAAGTCCAATAGAGCCAGCTTCTCCCATCTGGCACGATCAATGACCAAGTCTTTTAGAAAAAACTGTACGAGTAAATGGTACATTCGTTTGTTTGTTTGTTTATACACACATTTTTTACAAGTAATCCTCTGTGCAGTTCCTGTTCTTGTTTTTCGTGGTACAACCATTTTCTCCAACGATGAACTCCGGGCTTGAGTTATGTTTGTCCGTTGTCTTGTACGATGACTTCCGGTACAACTGAATTGCCTCGGAGTCCTTTGAATTCGGGTAAAACTGGCAGAAGATCTTGAAGAAGGTGCTTCGGAAAACGATACTCATGGCGAAGTAGAGGAAGAAACTGACGGAAGAGTTCACCAACAGAAGCGTGTCCGTTATCTCTCGGACACCTTTGACGAGGTAGTTCTCATCGACGTACCCTTTACCAAACACTGTTGACATGATGGCATCAGGGGTCACACAAATCAGAAACATAAACACAATGACAATCAGCATTAGGGTGATCCGATTTCTTGCAGTGAATTTCTTCCCTTTAACCCTTTCCTTGCGAAGCTCGTTTATAATTCTGACATTGAGAAATATTAGAATGAACACTGGGATAATTCCGCGTGAAGAGTTAAGGATCCAGGAGTAAGGAACCATGAATGCGGTGTTTCTTCCAAGATGGGTCGGAAGAACAAGTGTGCAGGTCATGTTGTGTCTTCGATCGTGCACTGTACGCATTTCGTATCTGAAAGCCGACGGCAAAGCCACAATACTCATTAACACAAAGACGATGGTACAGACATATCGAGCGCGAGGTATGGTACACAGTTCCTTTGCTCTAGAAGCATGACAGACAGAGATGTACCGTTCCACGGCCACGCTAACTGTAAGCCACGATGTCACGCATGCGGACATGTTAAACACGTAGTGAGCTACAGGGTACATGGTGCTCATCATCTTTTGCGATAGACTGCTGTTGTGGAGGGAGATAGCCACGATGATGAAGTACATAACATCATTGAGTAGCTTCAAGGTATCGGACACAACCAGCGACATCAAGTAGACGTTTGTTGATGTCCGCATATCTCGATGTCTAAACACCAGCAGAGCCAGAAGATTGCCTATAATCCCAATGATACAGAGGATCGGATAAGCGATTAATCCTGTTATATACTGGGCCGTCAGGTAGAAATCCTTGTATTGTTCCGAGACGTTCTGGGAACATGGTAATCCCTGTGAGTCCAGGATTTCACTGTTGGCTGTAGTTGCTAGTAGTATCACAACAGAACCTCCCAGAGTTGAATTGTCAACTGAGTAAGCCGTCATCGTGTAGGGTGGAGGTTTGATCTTTTAATGCCAGTGGGAAGATGATTCTCTACAATAACATCTGCAATTCCCGTGTCAACTCATGGACTGTGCCTGTGCCATTTTTAGTCACCATCATCATGTTGCATCTGTGTTACATGTTCTGGGAGTTGCCCATCTTGGACTGCCGTTGTAGCACTGGGAAGAGAAGAAACGTACCTTTATTTCACATGAAAAACAATGAAACAATAAATCATACAAAGGAGGAATACCTGAATGATAAAGACGACGGATGGAGAAGATGAAAAAAGCAAGAAAGAAACATTATTATTTATAGTATTATTATTATTATTATTATTATTATTATTATTATTATTATTATTATTATTATTATTATTATTACTATGAATAATAATACAATTGTTTGGTCATGTAATAAGACTGGCATCAGATTAGGCACCACAGAGAGCAATGTTATACAGATACAACGGTAACAGAGCCAGAGGTCGACCACGCAGAATATGGACCGCAGAAATAGACACTGAAGAGTACTATTTACGAAGAGAACAGAAGGGCCCGTTCTCTTCCTGCTGAGACGCTGCGAGGCATTCCAGGAGTAGAGGAAAGAAGAAAAAGAAGATTATTATTATGACTATTGTTGGTATGTGTTATTGTTAGTACATCTGTCAGTATTGTAAACCATATATCGGCAGTCTCAGAAATACATAAAAGCAAAATCACAACATGTGAGATGAGATCAAGAAGAGACAGTCACCAATGAGGAACAAAAAGCAATGGTAGGTACAGTACGGGGAACGATTTCACAGAACATCAAAGAAAGTTTGCTGGTTTGCTCAAAATTAATTAAAAAAAAAAAAAATAACCCAGCAAGTAGAGAGTGGTACATAAGAATAGCAGGCTACAAACAGTAAGACACAAGACAGGAACGTTCATCTAACTCCTCTCTACAACGCTTTACAACATAAACAGTAAGACAGAAGACAGGAACGTTCATCTAACTCCTCTCTACAACGCTTTACAACATAAACAGTAGGACAAAAGATAGGAACGTTCATCTAACTCCTCTCTACAACGCTTTACAACATAAACAATAAGACAGAAGACATCAGCGTTCATCTAACTCCTCTCTACAACGCTTTACAACATAAACAGTAGAACAGAAGAAAGGAACGTGTATCTAACTCCTCTCTACAACGCTTTACAACATAAACAGTAGGACACAAGACAGGAACGTTCATCTAACTCCTCTCTACAACGCTTTACAACATAAACAGTAGGACACAAGACAGGAACGTTCAACTAACTCCTCTCTACAACGCTTTACAACATAAACAGTAAGACAGAAGACAGGAACGTTCATCTAACTCCTCTCTACAACGCTTTACAACATAAACAGTAGGACACAAGACAGGAACGTTCATCTAACTCCTCTCTACAACGCTTTACAACATAAACAGTAAGACAGAAGACAGGAACGTTCATCTAACTCCTCTCTACAACGCTTTACAACATAAACAGTAGGACACAAGACAGGAACGTTCAACTAACTCCTCTCTACAACGCTTTACAACATAAACAGTAAGACAGAAGACAGGAACGTTCATCTAACTCCTCTCTACAACGCTTTACAACATAAACAGTAGGACACAAGACAGGAACGTTCATCTAACTCCTCTCTACAACGCTTTACAACATAAACAGTAAGACAGAAGACAGGAACGTCCATCTAACTCCTCTCTACAACGCTTTACAACATAAACAGTAGGACAAAAGATAGGAACGTTCATCTAACTCCTCTCTACAACGCTTTACAACATAAACAATAAGACAGAAGACATCAGCGTTCATCTAACTCCTCTCTACAACGCTTTACAACATAAACAGTAGAACAGAAGAAAGGAACGTGTATCTAACTCCTCTCTACAACGCTTTACAACATAAACAGTAGGACACAAGACAGGAACGTTCATCTAACTCCTCTCTACAACGCTTTACAACATAAACAGTAGGACACAAGACAGGAACGTTCATCTAACTCCTCTCTACAACGCTTTACAACATAAACAGTAGGACAAAAGACAGGAACGTTCATCTAACTCCTCTCTACAACGCTTTACAACATAAACAGTAGAACAGAAGACAGGAACGTGTATCTAACTCCTCTCTGCTACACTTTACAACACAAACAGTAGAACAGAAGACAGGAAAGTGTATCTAACTCCTCTCTGCTACACTTTACAACACAAACAGTAGAACAGAAGACAGGAACGTGTATCTAACTCCTCTCTACAACGCTTTACAACATAAACAGTAGAACAGAAGACAGGAACGTGTATCTAACTCCTCTCTACAACGCTTTACAACATAAACAGTAGAACAGAAGACAGGAACGTGTATCTAACTCCTCTCTACAACGCTTTACAACATAAACAGTAGGACACAAGACAGGAACGTTAATCTAACTCCTCTCTACAACGCTTTACAACATAAACAATAAGACAGAAGACATCAGCGTTCATCTAACTCCTCTCTACAACGCTTTACAACATAAACAGTAGAACAGAAGACAGGAACGTGTATCTAACTCCTCTCTACAACACTTTACAACATAAACAGTAGAACAGAAGACAGGAACATGTATCTAAGTCCCCTCTACAACACTTTACAACATAAACAGTAGAACAGAAGACAGGAACGTGTATCTAACTCCTCTCTACAACGCTTTACAACATAAACAGTAGAACAGAAGACAGGAACGTAAATCTAACTCCTCTCTGTGACGCTTTACAACATAAACAGTAGAACAGAAGACAGGAACGTTAATCTAACTCTTCTCTGTGACGCTTTACAACATAAACAGTTGGACAGAAGTCATGAAACTACATCTAACTCCTCTCTGTTACGCTTTACAACACAAACAGTTGGACATAAGAAATGAACGTTCATCAAACTCCTCTCTGTTACGCTTTACAACATAAAAAGAAGAAGAAAGGAAGAAAAAGTTAATACTGGACCCACTGCAACCCCCCCCCCTCCCCCCCCCCCCATATATCAGACAAATACCAAGGGTAAACATCTAACTGATTTATTCAGTTTACAAATTTCTTTTCTCTGCAGAAAGATTGCCGTAATGAGAAAAGAGGCATTGGAAAACATCGTGACAACTGGAAAGATGAGTGGACGCAGGAGTAGAAACAGACCAAGAGAGATGAATCTGAATGAGCTGAAATGATGGCATAGAGGGATAGCATCCAGAGAGCCGTTCCAGGCAACCAGGAATCGTGCTTTGTGGAGATGCATGAGCACCTACGTCGGCTGTCAGGGCACATGATGATGATGATGTGGCTACACAGGTTCTATATAACACTTACTTTACAAGTTTAATATAGCACCTAAACTCCTTCTGACCACAGTTACCTTCCACACAAACATGTATTTAATAAATGAATAGCTATGACAGTAAATTCATCTTTTTTTCATTTTCGATGTATGAATATTGATCGAATCAATGACCTATTATATTGCACAGCATAGAGATAACCGTTTCTTCTAAGATTAAATGTCCTACTTTTGTACAGAAAAGAATATGTTTGCTTTGTACTGTGCGGTTTTCCAGGACAAACGGATCGATCACATCGGATATGTAGTTAAACTGTGAAACCTCACGTATATTACACATTCAGAAACTAATGATTAAAGAACTCTTAAAACGAGTGTACGGTTCAAACGATGACAAATTCGATGTAAAGAGTTTGAGTAAATGCAATACTTTTTCTTTGGCAGTTATTGCTTTAAGCGTTTGTGGCTGAGGTGCAGTGGTTGGTCTTAACGTATTACTGAATAGAGTTAACTATGGATCAAATAGATAATATGATAAACTTTATCAATATGCGATAGATAAAGATACACTTGGAAATAAGGCGCAGCAGCAGAGTAGTGGTGGTTGTGGTAGTGGTGATAGTAGGGGTGTGGTAGTATTGGTGGTGGTAGAGGTGGTAGTGGTGGTGGGGATAATGGTGGTGTTGGTGGTGGCGGTAATGGTGGTAGTAGTTGCGGTAGTACTCAGTAAAACAGTCACTTTTCGACCGACTCAGGCGTATTGGGCATATAGGGCTACGCTTAAATTTGTTGACCTATCGGCAGTAAGTGGATGATGTAGTCAAAATCACACCGACCGCCTGTCTTTACTTTCCAGAGTAGTAGTAGTAGTAGAAGTAGTAGTATTAGTAGAAGTAGTAATATTCGTAGTCAAAGTAGCGAAGAATTGGTATTGGTGGTAGTAGTAGTGGTGGTTTTAGTAGTAGTCGTAGTATTACCATAGCAATAGTTGTAAGAGTAGAAGTGGTAGTGTAGTAGATATAGTCAAATAGTAGTACTTTAGCAATAATAATGGTTAATGCTGTTAAAATTGTAGTAGCAGTAGCAGCACAAAAAGTATCAGCAGTCGGCTAAGTAGTAGTGGTAATTTTAGTAGCAATGTAATAGCGTTAGTAGTAGCGTAGAAGTAGGGAAGTAGTAGTGCAGTTGATGTAGTAGTGTAGTAGTAGTGGTGTAGTAGTAGTTGTAGTAACAGTGTAGTAGTAGTTTTAGTAGAAGTAAAGTAATAGTTGTGGTAGTAGCTGTAGTATTAGTGTAATAGTAGTGAAGTAGTAGTATAGAAGTAGTGTGGTAATAGTGTAGTAGTAGTGAAGTAGTAACATAGATGTAGTAGTAGTGTGATAGCGGTAGTAGTTGTGGTAGCAGTTGTAGTAGTAGTGTATCAGTAATTTTATAAGTAGTGTAGTAGTAGTTGTAGTAGTAGTTAAGCAGTAGTGTAGTTTTAGTAAAGTTGTAGTAGTAGTGTATCAGTTAGATAGATAGATAGATAGATAGATAGATAGATAGATAGATAGATAGATAGATAGATAGATAGATAGATAGATAGATAGATAGATAGATAGATAGATAGATAGATAGATAGATAGATAGATAGATAGATAGATAGATAGATAGATAGATAG